AATAGTGATATGATGGAAATATGTGATTAAAAAGTAAGGAATGATTATTAATGTGATGAAAAATATTATTTTATTAAAAAATGTGTGGTTGAAAATGAGTTTTGAAAGAATGTGTATCAAACAGGGGCTTAACGGATTTGTTTGTCATTTCTAAAATTGAGACCATAGTTATCAAAATCGGACTGACCAGACTATCCCGAGAACTAGCATCATTGATTCATTAGCAATTAAACTGGTCAAAAATCGCTTGAACCAGTCAATTACCGTCAAACTAAACAGGTTTGGAGAAAATTGAATCTAGTTCGAACCAAACAAGTTAGTTACTATATTTGTCCAAAGCAAAATTTTATATTAAATTTGCAAAGAGTAGGATCCGAACTCGGGGCTTCTCTTAAGGATTGTGGAAAGTTTGACCACTATGATAATTGATGGAGGGTATTGAATGTAATGGAAATACACGTCTCATTTTAATCTTTGTTATTTAAAAAAAAATATTAACTAAAATTCAACATTGTAATGACCCATCAATTAAACTACCGAACTATTGATTGAACCACCAACTCCGATGATCAGGTTGGGACATCTTTGTATTTTTACTAGTATAATTTTAAACACATGTTTGAGCCACATTAAAATTTACATTTTCATTCTTTTACTCATTTTTAACCACACATTTTTCAATAAAATAATATTTTTTATCACATCAATAACTTTCTCTTCTTTTTCAACCACACATTCTCCATCAATCTACTATTCTAAAATACATTCTTCCAAAATAATGTGGCTCAAACACACTCTCATTAGGAAATATGCACGCACAACAATGAACTTGTGTTCTTGTGACCTTTGTCTCCACAACTTGCATTTTAATATTAGTTTTGCAATTTAAATTGGTCGATGAATATTATATTTTTCATAATGTGTTTTTATTTACTATTGAGCTTTACAATGTTAATCATTAGTCGATGATTATTATGCCCTTGTTTGACGGCCACTATAAAGAAAAATTAAGAAAAAATAGTGTTTTGAATGGTAACTTTTTGAAGAATGTATGATTAAAAAGTAAGAAAAAAATTTGAATTTACGTGTAAATATTTTATTGTGTGTGATTAAAAATGAGTATGAGAAATAAAAAGAATCAAACAAGAGCTAAACTACCACATTATCCATCTCTCCAAAGTTGAGGCGGACTACCCAACAAGAGAAGCCCAAAGCAGTCACTACTTATTTTTATATTTTCTTGACTTTATTGTTTTATATAACGTACTCCATGTGATTATGTGAAGACATGTAGAAAAATCTCCAAAAAGACTCCAACAGTGTGCTTGATTGTAACCATAAATGTTGCATGGAAAAAATATAAGTTTTAGACAATTGAATTGTCTAGAAATTTTTTTATGAAAATTGTTAATTAAATGTGTTTAATTGACTTAATTTTCAATCTAGAAAATATTGTATTTTTCTCATAAAGTCGAGTTTTTTAGAAACGTGAATTGCTTAAAAAATAAAAACCTACCCCCCTTATTTTTGAGGAAAACGTGATCACGCTGCCAACTTTTAAAATATATTTTTCATGAAAAAATATCGATCAAACACCTCAAAAATAGGAATTTGGATAGAAAAAATGAATTTTTTCATGAAAAATAAAGTAAATCAAATACACCTAAGGGTGCATTTGATTGTAAGGGTGGAAAATCAAAAATGGGTGGAAAGAAAATGATTTCCAGGGAAAATAATTGCCTATAAAATATTTTGCGGGGAATTGTTAATTAAGTGTTCCCCTCAAAGCCACTGAGGTGAGTACCCGGCCGTAAACTTCAAGGTCCCGTGGAATTAGTCGAGGTGCGCGCAAGCTGACCCAAACATCCACGGTTATCAAATAAAAAAATTGTTAATTAAGTATGTTTGATTGGTATAATTTTCCACCGTAAAAATTTTTGAAATTTTGGATTTTTTTGTTCGCATTTGACTTTATTTTACATAGAAATTATCCATTAAAATGAATTTTATTTTTTTTACAATTGGTTAT